CCAATGTCTTCAAAAGCTCGAGTGATTGACGGAATACTTCTTTCGACGTCGTACTTCGTCTTGGATAAATTCAACCAGGATGGAGATAAGTCCGCTGGTGTGACCGATTCGCACGCATGTCCTGTAATCCACGGCTAGCCTGTTGAGGACTTCTAGCACTTCCTCCTGTCTTTCGGGTAAAAGAGCAGTGAGGGCCTCCAGGGATCCAGGGATAGCGGAAATCCTGAAGCAGTTATGGCTGTGACGAACCAGGTGCTTGATTACCATGGTTGCAGCTTTCCTGATTTCGGCCTCACTAAGATCCTTCCAGGTGATCATCTCTAAGAGTCTCTCCACAACTCCGGGCGTGGTACCAATCCTCCGTTGCGTTTCTTCCATTGAATCTCCTTTTGAGACAAGAGCTGACAGTATTTTGACGCTACCGAGCTGCTCTTCCCTTATGCTTGACTGCAGCTTCTCGACGGTGAAATCGATAAGGTCCATTCCCAGGCCATCAAACACGCTTCCGTTCAGCGATCGTGAGTACAATGTGTACCAGTACTGCTTCATGGTTTCAATGTCGTCTTGATCAAGCTCACACGTTAGAGTGACTACTTCCAGCAACCTCTGGTAACGAAGCTTGAATTCCCAATATGTTCTCTCCAGGAGGAATAGCGACGTTTCTGCCAGCATCATCGCGTAAAACACCGTAAGTGCTTGCTCAGTGTTGTTTCCTTGGGCATTGAAGCCGTGCTCGGCAAGTCGATATACTGAGAAACATGCGGTGACTGTTGCAGAAGCAAGCTGGAGGAAGTACATGAAAAGGCTGATGATCCTGGTGGGGAGGAACTTTACATACGCGCTTCCCACGCACCAAATTCTTCTGCCAGCGAATCCCTGGTGTAAATCTTTGTTTACTGGTTTTTTGGAAAGTCGATCTCTACTCACGTTCTGTTCAGAGTGGTCATGGTCCAAGACTCCAGAGAACTTCTCCCATAATCTGGCGCTCTTGTCGAACAGGAACGATCTGAAGCCGAGAATTCCCAAGCTGTAATTTGCCTGCTGCCATTCCAACTCGCTACTTCGACTGAAAACCCGCGTTCCTTCAGTCAGCAGCAAGGCCGAGATCGTCCAAAAGTCTTTGGCCGGAATGTTGCTCACGAATCCACCGAGGAGAACAACAGTTGCCCAGACGAAGGCCAGTTTCCCGAGGCCAGTGGCGAACTTTTCAAGAACTGCGAGCCTGAAAGCTACCAGATTGAGCTGCTCTGGTGATCGGGAATTATTCCTTTTCACTGGAGCGGAAAGCTGCTGCAGCTCTGGAGCTGAAGGCTTGGAAGTGGAAGGCTGCTGCTCGACTTCCGGATGTGGAGAAAAATCCGGCCACAACTCACTGGTATTGAGGGTTCTAGTGCTTGAAGGTGGAGAAGGTGGAGAAGCGAGAGCAGGGCCGGAAGAAGGAACTTGAATGCTTACCTCGTCCGCAAAGTGAACGGTACTCTTGGGGGCACCGGCAGACTGTACCCTTTGAAGCTTTCTGCTAATCCTCGAATCCATGTTTACTGTTCAAGGAGTTTAGGGGATTTGAGGAGGAGGCTCTTGCTAAGCCTGGTGACCGTGGTATTGACGACTTCTTCAAAGCCGCTTGAATGTCTTTTCTCATGTTGCTGGCATAAGCAAGAAAACTACTACTTTCGTTCTATGATAGCACGGACCACTTCAAGCGACTCATCACGAGCGAATCAATAAAAAACGAGTGCTTTGTTTGACAGTGCTGCAATTTGCGACAAAGACACTGCAAGCCGACGCGTGTGCTGCTGACGACTTCAAAATGTCGTGCCACAGTTATAAAGAGACTGTCGCTGTTTACAGATGCAAGATAAACATGCCTCTGCAGGGCTTTGCAGGGTTTTGTAGGGTGCAAATTTGAGGCTTACATTGTCATCCCTAAGTGTGATTTGGGTGACACAGTTCTAAAGAGACTATTGCTATAGGAGAGCTTACAAGGATGTTAAGATATTGCTGTAAGTTCTTTCATGCACTTCATAGTTATAGTAAATGCCTCGTGATGGCATCTTAAACTTGTACCATGGCATGTGCATTGCCAGTCCAAAGATTAAATAGCCCACAACCAAGAACAAAGCGAAGAAAATGAGAAAACTCTAAGAATGTTGCTGTCCCCTTAAGTTTCTCTTGCCATAAATTCGCTGCTACAATAGCTTATATCCTTTCTACACTTTTAAGTTTCAGTGCCCGTAGCGGATAGATGTCGTTTGGACACTGTTGACCAGAATTGACCATCGTTGACCCATTGACCGTTGAATGGTTTGTCCTTGTTGAGTATGCTGGGTTCGATTCCTGCGCTGGGCGATATTGCCAGGGCTCGGCTCAAGCTGCGAGCAGTGCCGGTCACGGAGGAGAATTTCAATCTCGCGAATGGGATTCCCAGGTAGTGCCGGCAAAATGTGGCCGAAATATCCAGCGGCTCGGTAGTGATTGAGTGAGTGATGGTTCCTTTGCGCAGATTCTACCTCATGGAGCTCAAGAAAACGGGGCTGCGATTCAAAAGGATAACGCATCACGCCAGGGTGACGCAGTGTCTGGGATCAGTGGGAGCTCATCCTTGGTACATGGCGGTCTCTCCCCCCAGCATTGTGGATCCTTCATCGCAACACGAGGGCGCTGTTCGATCCAACGCTGGTGGCCACTACTATTTACCTCCCTCTCATGCAAGCGTCCAGGTTTTCAAGATAGATGGTCCTCGCTTCATCAACCTAAACGAAGGAACTTGGCACGCTGGTCCTCTCTTTGGTGATCGAGATTCGATGGTCTTCTACAACTTGGAGCTCAGTGACACCAACGTAAGATCATTCGATCGAGCTTGTATGACCTTTTTTATGTTCTTTTTATTTGCAGGTTGTGGATCACACTACCCACGTGTTTAAGGACGACGTACTGATCGAAGATTGAGGTACAGAGCCTTGGCATTTCATGTGATATTCGAGCGTGATTTTTGTGCTAGGTGATGGCGAGCTTAAACACTTTTTTGCGTGTATAGAAAAGCAAATGGTGGAAATGAAACAAGTTCTTTGCGAGCTAAGAATTTCATGTCCCTTGCCATCAAGTTGTCGAGGAGCTCCTTTTGTGCCTCGGGACACTGACTAGTAGTTGAAGGATGTACAAAATGAGGCTGATGATCCTGACTCCCACAGACCATGGCGTCAACTCCCTGGTATAAATCCTGCTTAATTGAACTGTAACACTGTTAGAATTCTGTGCAGGGTGCTGATTATGGTCGAAAGCCGCCTGCTTTCTGTCGAACACGAGCGAGCAGATGTTGAGAGTATTCATGTAATTTGCCTCCTGCCAGTCCATCCGCCAAGAACTCGGGTTCCCTCAGTCAACAGCAAGATGGAAATGTTCCAGAAGTCTTTCTTCTTGATGTGGGTCACAAATTCGAGCGGTGGATGATATCCTTTGAAAGGTTTTGCTGCTCCTGAAACTTCTTCTTCGTGGTTCTGATTCTAATAATGTAACTTTCGTCACAGCGGAAAAGTACGAACTCTATGCTTGGAAAGTTTCAAAACAGCGTGGAGTGGTGACCACAATTTCAGAAAGGAGATCTTCTATGAAGTAAAGGAAGCTTTATTTTTCATGTTGATTTCTTTCCTATTTAGAGTTCTGTAAGTGAATTACAATTGCGTAAGCGAAGTTGCTGCGAGTTCAGATCTCCTATGAAGTAAGCTTCTTCTTTTTTGGTTCTTTTTTAGAGTTTACGTGAGGAAGTTGCTGAAACTGAATTTGTATTTTATTCTTAACAGCATGACACATTCGAGGTTCTTTTTTTTTGGAAAAGGTGAAGCTACAGCCTGTGTAAGTTCGATAGGGCGATCTTGACGAGCTCCTCGATGCTGCTGGAATACTTGATAAGTCCCACAAAACCCGAAAACGTTAAGAAGTTTTCTTCGTCTGAGGCAGTCGCTAACATTGCTTCCAGGGACGCCTCCATTTCACCGTCTTCTCTAAAACGTCGCAAGAACCTGGCGTCCTTTGCCATCAAGCTGTTCAGAAGCTCTACGCTATATCGCCGGATACAATTCAAGCTCCTAGAAGGTGCTGTGTGGGATAGAAGCTCTCTGAATTTTTCGCAAAGCCGTGATTGTTGCGATAGCACGCCTTGT